CAACACCGGAGTGGATACCTTCCATATCGTCGAATACAACGGTACGTGAGAACCCCGGTCTTACACCCCGCCGCCGTGCGTGATCTGCTTTATCTCCCCTTGGCTCTATTAGTGGAGCGTCTGAGTCTGCATTGCGTTTGTTTCGGTATACGTCACTAAGTTTTTCAAAAGCTACTCACTTTTATTTTATGCGAAAGAGGTTGTTAGCTTTATGGCGTAACCTTACAACGTGGGTTCTGTGGAGATTTTTAAGATACGATCCCGTGGACTGTGATTTTTGCAATAGTTTAATCTGGCAAAAAACCTATTAATTACCGTAAAGTACAGTGCGCGCAGTACCTTAAATAAATGGGTTTTGCTAAATTTCGTGTTATAAATTCGTAGTACAAAATCTCAGGTACAACTTTTGCGTGGGACCTCTTTAGATGTCATGGGTTAACGCCGGATTGAAACGGGCCAATAGCAATTAAGCCATTTATTTATTATGTTGTGCACGCGTTGTACGAGCAAATAATCTCGGATTATAGTTCGTGATAAATGACAGTGCCGTTTCTGCTATCCGTTCCAGTGTGTGTGTGTGTGTGTGTGTGTGTGTGTGTGCGTGTGTGTGTGCGCGCGTGCATATGTGTATTAATTACGTTTACTTGACCCTCAGATAAGACCAAGAAGCTGGGAGACCTCATCACTGAGATCCTCACTGCCTAATACGGCCATCCTAATATCTTCAATACCCCGTTCACACTGCAAAATTTGGTTCTACATCAAACTAGTCAGGGCCAGGACTGGGCCAGGCACGCGCTAAATCGCAGCGTACAGACAAACCGAACTCAATCAGGCTAAATTAGCACCGGTTTCAGGGGCGGATCTAGCTTTCAGGAGACGGGACAGGGGGTTGATATGATATTTGGTGGTCCGGCGGGGGCATGCCCCCCTCCCACCTGGAAAATTCAGGCAGCCGTGTAGTCACAGGGGAAATCCCCAAGTTTCTATCAGCCTGCAAACTGACTTTTTTAATTTTTGGCCCCATTTTACTAGTATCATAACATTAGTCAGTGGCTGAACGGGGGTTGCAACCCCCCCTCCCCTACCCTTTAGATCCGGTACTGAGTTTACTGCGCATGCTCAGTTTAGCTTGTTACGTCACTCAGCAGACAGCAACGTGAGTTTTATGTGACCCAAACAAGGCTATGCGCATGCGTATATCGAAATTTAGCCCGCGTCTGGTCCCGGATTGTGTGCACACACAGTTTAGCGCAGGCCAACTTAGCACGCTTCGAAGCGGGCCTGGCCCACCTTCATTTGCGAGGCTAGCCTAGTCCGGACTAGCGCGTATTTAGCGCGTATCAAATTTGCAGTATGTACGGGGTATATATGACCTCCGGCCTTATCCTGGGCCGTATAGGAGAGTGCTTCTGAAGATGACTGTGGAATGGAATAGACAAAGTTGGACTCAAACGGCAACGACATTGGAAATCACATTATTTACGTTTTAGATTAGATGACAGTTATAGAAAGAAAAACTCGCATTTCTTTCTGTGCATATATTCAAGAATAGTCGCAATAGAGATAGATGCTGTAGTTAGGGCTATTTCATATATCTGCTTACAATACTCATTCATAATTTAATAAAGCCCATTTAATTGTCTATGTATGTATGATATAAATGTCTCTATAACATATGTATTTGGTATTTTGGGGAACGAATTAGTATCAAAACAGTATTCCAGTTCGTAGTTACAGTCTGCGCATGCGCGAACTTTGCCACGAATTCTTTCGGGTCAGGTCATTTGTGACAATATAGTTCGTATTTCGACCGCACAGTCCACATACGCATTCATATGTGTCGTTGTAATGCTACAGGCTTCGCGTGTGCACGTACACGTGCGTGCGTGCGTGTGCACGTACACGTGCGTGCGTGTGCACGTACACATGCGTGCGTGTACACGTACACAAAATACATGTACATATACGTACTGAACTGAGAGCGCACGTCGCACTCGAGATTTCATTGATTTTTATCACAACTAGTATGAACTACTAACTACTAACTACTAACTACTGACTACTAACTGGCTTATTGTCAAGGCACTATAATTGTAACCGAGCGTGCGTTCATTCGATCTTGTTTGCCATCATTTTAGCTATTCAAAAATACCACCAAACTTTTTTCGAATCGCAAATTTATAAATTAATTACATGTATTAATGTATTTGAGTATACATATGGCACTAACTTTCAATATTTTGCACCGATAAGTGCACCTGTGACGAAGCTTTATAAAAATCAACGTAATATTAAATTCGAAGACTGGGGTAAGTATAGACTAGACCTGCTAATTTTTTACTTACTAATTTGCGCAGGCAGTCAGTCCAATCTATTGAGTAATATTATATATATAGTTACTACGGCGATAAATCGAGTTTGACAATCTTCCCACGAGCTGACTCATGGTTCGCGGACGCACGGTTTTGATTGTTCAAACTAGCTGACTCGATCGTGTTTCGTGTGGAACGTGTTAAATTTAATTTTCCAATAAATTTGTGTTGCTGCTTTTGTGTACAAGATTATTTTAATGATTTTATGTGGCTGATTTGAGGCTCGTTGATTGATTGTGAAGATATCACATAGCAGAAGTTCCAGCATATATCTTGTTCACTACATATATAGAACATTCACATGCACATATTATAAATATATGATGTAAATTGTCGTAGCCCTCACACACGTGTCGCGTGTTATCTGTCATACTAAAATGCGTACGGGACTCTATGAGGCCGGCCGCCTTGCCGCTTATAGATCTCCCGAGCCATCTCCACAGGAGCGCTCTCCAGAGTGCCAGAGTCAGAAGTGCCGGGGGTATAGAGAATAAGAGAGTCAAACCATGCGCTTATTTACCATTATATAATTTATATATATATATATATATAAACACGAACATGCACCCATGTAGATATTAAAATAAATGTAGAAAAACATAATGGGGTGTTAAATTTTATAATTTTATTTTTGCTTTATTTTTCTACATTTTAATAAATAAATAAATAAATATATATGTTTTTAGAAAACTGCAAAACTCCAATTAGGTGTGCCTACACTTTATTTTGCACAAAAATGTTTTCAAAATGTAAGCTAGCTAGAAATGTTCTCTGGCTATTACATCATTTCTACAAGGGCTGAAATGCAATGAGCCGCGCACGGGCTTTGTTATCTAATAATGCATCAGATTGTGCCGTTTCACACCATCCATTATCTTTAAAAAAATTCCGGGTATATATACCATGTTCCCGGATTCCATAGCACAGCGTCACATACGTACGGGAGTATTATTGCGTGGTGGAACATATTATATGCCAGCTCCCTATATTTGTTTCATTTGTACAATAACACGTGTAAATAAAAATACACTGTATATATACGTTGTTCATTTTTTTTCTAGCATGCAGGAAACTCAATTATTTTATACTCGGCATTTCTCTTTTTCCGGGGAACATACATGCATGCGCTCCATTACCAAGGCCGCCAAGTCCAATTACCATGCAAACATGCAAGGGGTGAGAAACATGCGCGTACTGCATGAACTCTATGTATGCTAGCAGGAGTGAATAAATTGACTAATTTATTCACTTCTGACGCTATATAGTGTATACCCTATATGCAAATGTAGGCAATCTACATGCTATTTTTTATTGTGCACGTACAGCAGTTCCGCTCACAATGTGCCCTGATTTTCGAAACTTTGCCATTACTATGGCTGTGCACATCATAAATTCCAACACAGCACACCTGCTCAAACACCTGTGTTGTCCACCTGTTGAACTAACCGGTGTTGCGCTCTGATGCATTTAACGGTACGGGCAACTATAAAACCAGGGTTACTCAGGTAGCGGACTGGAGGCTTGCCATGACTAGATTTAACGTAGAAGGCTTTTGGATAAGATACTATTTGAATACAACAATTTCTTATACAAAATTTGTGCTTGTGTTCCTACAGAAAACTCGCTAATAATCAACTTATGTATAAATTTACAAAAAAGCAATGATGGCAGTGGTGCTATCGTCTCGTGTCTTAGAAGCACCCGAAGTAACGTTAGAGCATGGCGGTCGTTGACAATGTAAAGTTTGGAGTTTGTCTGTAATAACAGGTTTTATGTTATTAATCACGCAAAGGAAATCAAGTATTAACTATAACGTGATAGTTCAAGTCATACCTGATACTGTAGGTATATAAATAATAGTTGTCATTCTCTGTCAACGTCAAAATAGCACATCTAAGTCTGGCTGTATTTGTGCGTTGTGACTCGTCGTGTGTGTGGTTGGTTTGTTATGAAGGCGCGCATTTGAACAGCAGCTATTTGTAGTTATTATAGTCGATGTAGAGTGGATAGACGTTCAAACATAGAAATGTATGGAATTTCCTATGAATTTACTATCATGACGTTATTGGAACGACACATGTGCTTGAGATTGAATCGTATTTTAATGTCTTATAATGATACACATCTCGGACATTTGCACTATCAAGTATCATCATCAATGACAATATCGATGATCAATGATGACACCATGATCATGATACCGTGTTTATGTTATCTTATACTTATGGTCCTGTCAGAGTAAGAAATGTATGCTATGATCTATAGAGTGTCATGTAACCAAATCGGCGGGTGGTAGCTATATATAGGTCTAGCACTGCAGTCGTTATTATTCTACATTAATCATTATGGCAATGTAATACAGAGCATTCGAGGATAATGCTAGAACTACTGCGGTAATTGGCATAGTTAATCTAATTACGTGTCATTAATTCTTCATATATTTATTTTTCAGGTGCAGACTATTCTTATATTGTCTGAAAATGCCTAAAGCATTCCTTGTTCGAAAGTTGCATTCGCCTCACAGACCGAAAAATGGGGAATTCGCAAGAGAACAGAAAAGTTACCATGACCGTGAACAATTATGCACTTCTCAGTCATTAACCAAGCATATTGATATCAATAACTCTTTCAAGAATACACTGAAGCCAAAGATAGGTGGAGGCATTCCCCTGAAGATTTATACTCAGTCAAATTATATCGGAACATCGGATTGTCTTTCTTCAAATACTGACAGCAACCAATCAGAGAACACATCTAGAAGCTACCACTATCTCACTACACTGAAAAATCAAAGTGTTCCTGTGACACTAAATGCTGCTCGAACAGTTGGCTTACATGTGGCTGTACCGAACACCAATGGAGAGTGGATTGACAAAAGTCCTTCCTGTGAAAAGGAGAATGAGACCTGGTCAGATTCGTCCGCTTTCCATCACGTTACTTTGCATGATACACAGAACCCCACACAAGCTCCCGTAGTAAGAAACGACAGCCAATCTTTAGGTGTGCCGCAGGCCATCCCATTGATCACCGCTAATCACTCGCGGTTGCTACGGAAACCTTTACAGATATGTCAGGCACGTTCAAACGACAGGAACGGCAGACACGAGTCCTTGATGTGTCTTTCATGCAGCAAAGAGTTCAGAAATTATCGTACGCTCAAACGCCATCTTAGGACCCACACTGATGCAAAACGGTAGGTTGCTACATTCAAGCAATTGCTGGTTGTGCTAGCAATTTTGCTTTTATATCAAGTATTCATTCACAAGATCATAACTACGTTCAGTAAACTCTATTGACAAAGGCTTCTAGGATTTGTTAACCTTAAAAAAAGACTAAACATGTTATACTCTCAGGGGTAGAAATTAACTTTTGAACACGGGAGTCCAACGGACTCCCTACCCTCAAAAAGAGGGAGTTCGCAGCAAAATGAGGGAGTCCGCAGTCTGAGGTTCAAAATTAAAGATATTAACAATAACGCATGTGCTTATTTTTAAGATTCATGCGGTTGCATGTCTGGCAAATTTTCTTTGGATATTAGCTGAAAAAATACGCAATTCCTCGAAGCCGTGCTCCGGAACGAGCTATAGTTAGTATGGCAGAATTTCCAGGGAGTCACACGGACTCCTACATATGTCAAATCAGGGAGTCCGACAGTAAATCAGGGAGTATTTGACTCCAGACTCCCGTTAATTTCGCAACCTGTACTCTAGTGTGATTATGTAATGGAAAATAGGAGAAAATTGTTAATACAATAAGGTACCTGGTACTCTTGATATCTAGCTAAAAGGTAGAGCCAAGGACATCTAAAGCTATCTTTCTCGCCCTCTCTCTTTCTCTCTCTCCCCCTCCCTCTTTTCTCCCTTCCTCTACCTCTCACTCTTTTTCTCCTTCCCTTCCTCCATCCCTCTCCTGAATGCCGTGATGATACTTACAAGCTGTAGGGCCTACACTGTTTGAGTGATGCCGAAATAAGTCGTCCTCTTGCTACTGCCTTCGGCATAGCAGCGTAACATCGTTAACAGTGATAAGAATAATCACGTCCGCTCTGTTGCATGTACCCGCTTTACGTTTGCAGGCACGTGTGCGCATACTGCGGCAAGGGCTTCCACGACGCGTACGACCTGAAGCGGCACCGGCGCATCCACACGGGCGTGCGGCCGTACAAGTGCCACGGCTGCGCGGCCGCGTTCACGCAGCGCGTCTCGCTCGAGGCGCACGAGACGAAGCTGCACGGGGCGCGGTCTGCGCTCGCCTACAAGCAGCGCCGTGCCAAGGTCTACGTCTGCGAGGAGTGTGGCCACGCGACGGAGCACGCTGACACGCACTGCGCGCACGTTCGCGCCGCGCACCCGCACCGCCGCGCGCTGCTCAACGTCCACGACAAGCGCGCATTCCCGCGTGGCGGCGACGACGACCGCCGGCGGGGGAGCGCGAGGACGGACGGTGGCGGAGAGAGCGCGAGGACACCGGGGGTTGGATGCGAGGCTCGCGCCCGCATTTGGCCGATCGTCGGTCGAGTAGAGCTCGGTACGGATGCTGCGTATCGCGCAGAGCTCGGTACGGATGCTGCGTACGGCGATGATCAGGTTACGGGTGATATGCCGATGGATCTCTCTGTGCATCGTTGGCGATGGCCGGTGCACACGTACACACACGACACAGCAACCTCAGCTAATGGTCACCACTTTGAAGGCAGCTCCTCCTTAGCTTAGGCTACGCTACCCTAACGCTAGCTGAAGGTGGCATCTAGTCTAGTTATTTAAAGCTAGAAGGCTACAGTCTACGAGGCCTGCAGTGGTGGGAGTAGACCCAAGCATAGGTTACTCCTAGTAGTACCCTGAAGTTGTAGGCACGAGTTGTCTGTACTATGTGATCAGGAGTCTATCAATATTGATAGACTCCTGATGTGATGTATGTGCACCGAATCTGGCGCGCATGGTTGTTTTAGAAATTGCATTTCCATTTTGTTCTGGTACTGAATTTTGTGATAAAAAATCGACCAGGTGATTTATTTAGCATGCTGTTGTGCATTGTAAATTATGAATTTATAACAAGGTTTTATTTCATTCTTGTAGTTCATGTTGTATTATATGATATAAGCAACTCGTATGAGGGGATGACCACAGCTAAAGAAATAATTTCTTTACAATTGTCTTGCATTTTATCACACGACTATTTTGCTTTATTTCTACCTATACTATCTAACAATGTCCAGCGTGTGCCTGATAATTTCTGACGATTTGCATCCCGTGTCTATTGTCCACTGAATATTCATCTACCCATCTCAGGAAATGACTTTCTAAATGCATTCCTTGTCATAAAATATCATATATGTAAATTAAAATGAGGTGAAAGTGTCCAGTATACTTCTCACATATGCTTGTCCTCCTCATCCCAAGGTAGTCGCTAGAGGTTGCTGTCTTGCATGCATTATATCTGTGAACACTCCCCTGTGCGGCTTTAATAATGTAGGTGTTGCATAAAATATTACGTGTCATGGTTGTGTTGCTGAATTCACCTTGTAGTTACTTTATTATTTAAAATGATGATTGTCATTATATTCATGTTGCAGTCTACAATTATTTATAGTAGCTAGGAAATTTATGAAGTATGTCGTTTTATGCCTCAACTTTATTCTTTCTCTTGGACATTGCTGAGTAATCATAAAACTTGTGGGATGTTGTTTATACATTCACGTCACATACAACACTATGAATGGATGTTATTGTTCCTATATACCAATAATATATAAACATATTGGTGTATGTTTTATAGTAAGTATATTACCCATTTTCTCTTTGGTCATTTTTCTACTTTTATAAACGTAGGACACAAAAAGTGCATTTTTGATGAGCGGCGAGATCGAAACCTGAATTGTAATTTAAAAAGCGCTGTATTTTCATTATTCTAGAAATATTTGTTGGAATTTATTAAATATAGAATTTAATGTTGTGGAAATAAATCATTTCTACAATAATAAATGAATGTGTTAACTACTCTTTTGTTAATCAGCAGGATGTATAGCTTTCTACAAGCTGTTTTCAGACAAAATGTCTGAAAATTACAGTAATTAACATAAATAAATTAACTACATTTATATAACTTATTTATTATCAACCCAGATCATCAGATTAAGAGTTAACACATGATACTATTAAAATTTCAACATTTACACATATTGTATTGTATTGTATTGTTACATTTACTTAATGGAAAAAATATTCTGAGAATTAGGCAGGGTACGTATACTACTGGTTTATCAAATCCATACTGACACCTCATTGATAATGAATATAGTTTATTCTTCTCAAGACTTGATGTGGGTTCTAATGTGCATCTTCAGAGTTGGTATATTTTTCTGCTCTGTCTTGCACACGTGGCACCTGGTGAAATTGGGTGTAACGTAAATATACACCTTAGTAAATTACCATGTGTATTACAGTAAGTTAAACACACATTAACAATGTTAACGCACATCAAATTTTGAAAATCTACAGTATGCAGTTGACCACAGTGGTACATGTAAATGCAAAAGGTATTTGAATTACTTACACTAAAGGGTTTTTCAAAAGTTGTCCAGCATTACTTTGGTCCACAGCCACCTTGCCACTTTGTTCTATCTGCTCGATGACATCTAATGTTAAATTGTAACATATATGAATACATCTGAATGCTAATCGTACTTCAATTACATCACAACACACTCGTGCACTATAGTGCAAAGAAATCAGTATTTTAAACCACCGAGAGCTTGATATAAGCTAAGTGACATATGCATATCCAGAAAACAATCCTCACAATTGACCCAGGAAGTTTCAAACCAACCCATGCGTCCATTCGTGTGTGCATCTGTGCTTGCGTGTGTCTGTGAGTGCGTACATACGTGTACGTGCGTGGATGCATGTGTGTCTGCATGTGTGGGTGCGTGCATGGATACGACAGTAAATAAACACTTACTTTACTACTCAAGACACACTGAATCACTTGTGCTTCAAATAATTATCAACCCTTCAATTGATTACTGTATTGGAAGGTATAAACAGTTACACATGCAGGTTGGACCCTGGTAAAATGTCAACTCCAGTGGTCTGGTGCGAATTGAAAATAATGGTATTTAATTTGTGGAACTGCTGCTTGGCGATGCCGAGATTTCATGCGATTTAAACAAAACGTTGTTCACAGATTGACTGTCACTCACAGTGGTTTGTGGTTATTTCGAGCTTTTATGTACTCTTCAATATGGTGCATGAGAGGTCAAGAGGTAGTGATGCATTGTTATTTTTGGTATTATTTCCCTGAACTTTGCTGGTTCAGAATTTTCAAGTGTTCAGCACTGGCCTGGTACCAAGAGTGCTGGATTACGGGGGTGCAACCTGTTTTAAAATATTGATATTCTTATGTCTACTGTTATCCTTCTTCAAAGTAAACACAACATACCTTTACTATCAAGAAAATAGTCAGTCGTAAACGAGTTCCAGTGTTTCTTTGTCTTTAGGCAGGGTGAATCAAAGTCTTGGCTGATCACATGCATGTGGACATGGCTAGAACAAAGATGCTGTATTCACAATTCCTTCAAAAAGATTCTATTCACATCTACATGACCTAAATCTATAAGCAAAATGCACTGTTATTACTAATTTGTAACTATCTAAAATGAGTAAATTGTCTGAAATAAAAAATATAATAAGATAAGCAGATCTCACAAATATTGATAACACGCATTGTAATTATGAGCAACATGTTTTAATTACCTCATGCTCGGTACTGCGTGATACCCAAACCGAAACTTCAGAGCTTTGCTTGATCTGAATAGAAAGATAGAATAATAAACAGTTTAATTAATGATAAATTGATTAATAACATATTTAAAAAGATAGACAGATCACCTTTTCAAGAGAGAGTAAGAAATGCTAGAAAGAAAGAAGTAGAACTCATTACACCAGGGCAGAAGAAACTGAAGAAGACCAGCCAAACATTAGATAGAAAAAACCAATTTAGACATAAAGATGATGGGCCCAAGGAAGGAAGACGCTGAGGCCGGTAGCATATGGCAGCAGAAAGTCTACTTCAAGCTGACCCCGTAATGGTAGGTGACAAGAAAATAAAAAATACAGCTGTAGGTATTAGTTCCTGTTTGAATCACACGTACTAGGGAATAAACAGATTGATCTAAATGCATTTGTCACTCACTTTTCAGCTAGCTCCACACCCCTTTTCTCTATGTGTTTTAACAGAGGAAGGTGGTCCCTTGAGAGAGCTTTGAGGTTAGGTATGCTCTCATGTGGTAGAATTAGGAAATGGAACCTTGCCTGCAATGAAACATAACAAGCTACCATACATATATTTCATGAAGCCTACCTAATAGTAATATAATCAGCGCTTTGTGGAAAGAGCAAACAATGATATAAATAAGGTGTATACATTTATGTAATACAATATGAACAGCGCATGCGCAACAACTGCTCGGACGAATAGCGCATACGAACAGGTGTCCGATGCTTGGACGAATATCCACGTCCGCTACAGTTACTGAGTTAGTTACAGTGCCCTGACAGTAGCATACTTACATACTCAGACTGACCTTTGGGTATTTATCCTTGATTATTACTACCATTTCGTCCCTATCCACCCGAAGTTCCGGATCATCCATTGACGCTTTTAGGCCAAGGCTCCAGTGTCCCTTTTTCGCTAGGGGACCTACGTTATTTTTTGACGAATTACCTGGCTCATGCAATTTTCTTTTCGCTGCCATAGTTTTAGATATGCCCAGACTTAATTTTAGACCTAGTATGGCTATGTCACCTATCTGCCTTGCAATTTTGGTTACGTACCCTACATATAATACCCGAAAGGGTAAACTTATTACAGCTAAACTGCGTTACAGTCGCATGTAAATGTATATCGTTGCACATAAATAACACAATACTCATTATATCACATAATAGTAAATTGCTCATCTATTTTTAGTATTAGTAGTATTACTACTATTAGTATTAGTAACTGTGCAGAGTTCAGTTTACACATGAATATGCTGCGTGTTTTGTTGTTGAAAATCAGCGCCACCACCACAAAATATCACGTGACGAGCAAACCTTCGAGTGAGACCAATCAAATAACGTCCCCTAGAATGCATCGAAGAAAAATTAAAAAAACCGTTCTTACGCACGTTATGAACTAACTATATTATATTTATACTATAACGCGGCTCTAGCAATTAAGGTCAGAAGGAAATAATCACAATTGCACAGAGCTTAAATTCGATTGGATGTTCTAATAATGATTAGCGAGTAGAAAACAATAGTAGAGCCTAATCATTGTTTTTGCGGACGTTCTCGAACCGCTTTGTTTGCGATAATTAAACTAGTAGGAACGCGTGTCTTTGGTGTTGATAGACAAGGCCCTAATAACAAGTAATTTCGTTAGCCGATTGCCAATAATTAGGATAATATTAATTTAATGGACAGCTTATTTTATTATTGCTAATTTTTACTGCATTTCAACATTACAATTTACAGTTCTATGATTTTTGTGTCGTACCGGTACAATGGTGAACTGTGATTCAGAATCACTATATCTGAGTTGCAAGAACCTACATCGCAATGCGAGTTTGGACCATTTAGAGAAATGTCTTCACGATTGTTTAGAAAAAGCCGCATCTAACGATGCACTGCGAGACGTTTCCGCTTCGTATGGTGAAGGTGGTGAACTGGAAGCGAAAAGTCTTTTGATTATTCTTTTCGTTATCGTCGTGGTCGTCATCGTCATGTGCCCATTTATATGCACCCGGTGTCTGCGTCGAAATTTTGTCGGAATTAATGACAGGAGACCGATTCCTCTGTGTCCACCCCATACCTCGATCATACCAGATTGCTGTCATTACAGAGGTTATTGCTGGTGTTCGTTGTGCAGCTTGTGCTTAGCACATGTATGGATCCAGCTACAGAACTTCACCATGAGTTTTCGACAAAATGTTCCGCCCGCCACCATTGGCACTATGATAATGTATCATGGGACAACGAGAGAGTCAGCATCTCAGATTTTTGAAAATGGCTTCCTTCCATCTGAAAGAGGGCTATTAGGATCTGGTGTATACATGTCCCGGGACCGCGGCAAGGGATGTGGTTTCGCAGATCCGATCTTGTTAACCGCAAAAGTAGACGTTGGCAAATGTCTGGAGGTCCGAGGAGGCAGGAACAGATCGTGGCATCAAAATGGATTCGACTCTGCTTGGATACCAAAGGGTACGATATATTTCTCATCATATTCTGTGCGACGATTACGTTACACGATTTGCAAATGAATCGTGCAATAATGAAGCATTAGCATTCGTGCGTATTTGATAGAATATTCCCATTTCTTTGTATTAAACCCCGTATTTGTATCTGCAGGAACCATAACACAGCGAGAAGAACACTGTATATGGGATCCATCAAGAATACATGTCTTGTTTGCGATCAACATTAAAACAAACGAAGTTGCTAGTCAACAACTACTAACCGTTAACTAGCACTGCACCTCAAACCTCTACCGCGCGTCGTTATCTATGGGTCTTCTTGCATCAATTTATATTAAATTAAATTATCACACATATATATAATATCAGGAGCGTATATTGAGCAAATATATTTGTCAATTACGCCATTACGTACGCGCCATTACGTAGGCGCCATTACGTCATTACGCCATTACGTCAATTACGTCATACAAATATATTTGTCATTATACGCTCCTGATAATATAGAATGTGTGTGTGTGTGTGTGTGTTGTGTGTGGTGTGTGTGTGTGGTTGTGTGTGTGTGTGTGTGTGTGTGTGTGTGTTGTGTGTTTGTGTGCGCGGTAGTATATATATATACTATATATATATGTGTGCTGTGTGTGTGTTTGTGTGTGTGTTATATATATATATATTATAGTATATATATAGTATCATCGGGCGGCGCCAGGTTTTTCTTAGGGGGGCGAAAACAGGGGCGTGTAAAGGAGCAGCGCGAAGGGGGGGTCTGGGGGGCTCCCCTAGGAAATTTTTGAAATAGACCCCTCAAGATGCGTTTTCTGCGCGAGCAGGGGGGGTCCGGACCCCTGGACCCCCCCCCCTGTACACGCCCCTGGAACTGTAGACTGATACCGTGTGCGCTTGCACTGACGGGTGGAGTGCCAGGGGGTAAGATTCATGATTCATCATGCTGTCGTACGCAAAATATTTGGCGTAAATCTTGTGTACGCAATCGACGTTGCTTAGTTGCAGATTCATCACACAGCTATTTAGTAAATTTCGAATGATTTCGCGTACGCAAGCGAGGCCGTTTTAGGTGCGATTCATCAAGCTAAAATTTACGTAAACCTTTGGGTAACCTTTACACGAGCTGACGAGGTGCCGTAAACCACTCGAAATTTCCGCAAGTGTTTCCAGCATACCGCAGCAATGCATTATTTTATTGAGAAAACATTATAAGTTACTACTCAACTAAAAATAAATAAATAATTACCATACTACACAGACAGGCGCGCCTTTGACGCTTTTTTTGTCATATAGCTTGGCATGTCGTTTTCGTTATAAGCGAGGTCGTTAGTTAGCGCGTGTTACGTGCACCGTCTAGGCCCGTGGCCGTCGCGCACGTTGGTACGTGCACCACGCACGCCACGTTGTAGTGCACACAAGCACGCAGCGTGTACGTACACCACGCAGGCGCACGCGCACGCCCGTGTACGTACCGCAAGCACGCACGTGTACGTGCCCACGCACGTCACGTGTAGCGTGCACAACAAGCCACCGCACGCACGCACCGTGACGCACGTGTACGTTGCACACACACGCACGCAACGCACCGTGACGCACGGTGGTACGTTGCAACACGCACGCAACCAACGGCACGCACGGCAGTACGTGTCGCTAACTTTCGCATCGAGTGTGTGAACACAATAAACAACGAAATGAGGACAACTATCACAAATCTCCCCAGCACTCTGTAGACAGAGCCTCAGAGCCATATGGTTTACATGAGCAAGAGAGGCGTCAGTTTGGTTGCGCTATGGTATGTGTCGGCAACAAGTGTGATTGTTTATGCTAGGCACGCTCCCCTCAACAGCCAGGTCAGCTACGATGGCGTAGTGGATTTACAACTGGAATTCCATCACATTTGGCGTTACGCAAGGTGCTACGCCTGCGTTGATGAATGCGCGAACCTACGAGCTTGGCGTAGGTACTTTGTAGAAAACTCCTGTGTACGCGATACACGTTTGCGCAACGGGTTGATGAATCCGGCCGCCGAAGTGCCTTAGTGCCCCCTGGTGGGGTCCAAGGGGGCAGAGCCCCTGCAGGGTCCGGGGAAGCTCTCAGAGTTTAGGCTAATCAAAGCCCGCTCAAATTGCTGGACAAAAAATTGATGCAGGGGAACCAAGGAGCAAGAACATATACCAAGGAGATGAAACCCCGGGGGGGAAGGACTCACCCCACATTCCTGTAGGATATCTTGGTGATGTGCCACTGCGAGTTAAAAATGGGGGGGGGCTCCTGGCTCTGGCTCTGGAACACACACCCACACACAACACACACACACACACACACACACGCATACACACACCTAACTAAAACCTAGACCGAAGGCATCTCACGAAGCCATACCTCCGGCCAGCGACATACGGCCATACGCCATACGAATCACGAACACACGAAAATAACCGACACGATATACGCCAGCGTACATCGTATGCTCGCTGCAGGCGTGGCGCGCTCAGGTCAGCAGGCAGGCCGCTCGTGGCTTGGCTCGCGTCGCTGACGCGGACTAAATATCAATCGCGTCAGCACACACACGACCACACAACACACGGCGCCACGACAACAACCCTCACACACACAACACCACAACACACACACACACACGCGCGCGCTGCGCGCCGTGCGCAGCTATACGTGTAACACGAACCACATACCTGATCACATAACGCTAACCGCTCGCACTCCGTGGGCGAGTAAAAATAAGATAACATGTAGAGTATTATTAGAGGTGCAGTCTGACGTATGTAATTATAATTTATAAGTTTGTTAACCAACGCTCAAGTGTGGCGCTAACCTTTCCGCGCGGAAACAGCATCATCGACAAAATGAGGTCCCAACTTTGAAGACTACCAAGGAATAACACTTGACATCGATTATGCAAATTTAGAGCACAGGTTTTATATGGATGATTCGACACTTAAATTTCGATGTTTTGCGATGAAAGTGGTCCAGCTTGTAGGCTACATCACTCACTCCATTTTTGGGCGATCCCCTATTATGTTGCAAGAATCTTCTCTTTACCTTTTCCTTGGGGCAATGATGACCCCCCCCCCTCACCATACATTTGGGCAAGACATTTGGCAAGAAGTGTTTTCTTTTTCTTTGTCTTCTTCTCTTTTCTTTTTTTTTTGCTTTTTTTATCTTCTTTTTTCTACTTGGCTTTCACTTTTTTTGGCAAATGATAGGGGGGCGACCGTCACCCCCTGCCCCCCCCGCTGTGGCACCGAACCCCTGGATATATATATCTATATATATATATATAGTATAACGTGTGTGTGTGTGTGTTTTAATTTAGTTGAGGTGTCGCAATCAGAAAACATAACACGCACAAACAACCAATAGCTTTACCTTCATGGGCGCACGACTTGCAACACACGTACTTGCGCGCAGCGCGGCCGCACGGCACGCGCCAACTCATACATCTACACGTCATACAAATATATTTCAGTGTATACGCTCCTGATAATATAGGAATGTGGTGTGTGTGATAGTGTGTGTGTTGTGTGTGTTTGGTGATGTGTGTGTGTGTTGCTTGTTGTGTCTTGTGTGTGCGTATATATATATATATAGTATATAGTATATATATATATATATTATATAATATATGTGTGTGTGTGTGTGTGTTGTTTGTGTGTGTGTATATATATAATATATATATATATATATATATATATATATATATATATATATATATTATAATATATTATTGTGTTGTGTGTGTGGTGTGTGTGTGTGTGTGTGTGGTGTGTGATGTGTGTGGTTGTGTGTGGTGTGT